TAAAAAAAAAGGTTAAGTATGCGTTACAAATCAGCCTTTGTACTTTAAGGTTGTTCTTTAGCTCAAGGAAAAACTTTAAGGTTGTTCTTTAGCTCAAGTAAGAGAAAACAGTTACAAAAAAAATTATAATCAGACATAAAAAAAAAAGATTTATTTTATGTCTGATTAGAATTCGTCAAGCTTTTAAAAATATATGCTACACATATTTTTAACACAAGTATACTATAAAAAAAAGATTCAAAATATTTTTTATTTAAACTACTTTTAACAAACCTTTGCATCACATTTTTTTGTATTTGTCTTAGTGGTTTTACCTCTAATTTTAAAAAGTTTGTTAACCTAAAGGTTTAAGAAAATAATTACACCACATTATTTTTATAGTACATTTATAAAAAGTTACAAGTATATTAACTTAGGCTAAGTTATTGTTAAATACTTTATCAAAAAACAATAAAAAAAACTCCAAAAAGTCATGGTTTGAAACAACCCATCACTTCTGTCCTCACCCAAGAATCATTTAAACTGTTATCATAATCATTAAATTACTGCTGCAAGTTCATCTATAGAATTTCAGAACTATTTGTCATGATATTACTTTAATTACTGGAAAGAGTTTTTACTAACATCTCTTTCTAACAATAAAGATATATCAGAAAGACAAAAGAACCAAACATTAATTAATTTCTCAAAGCGTTGAAACACAAGAACAAAACATTTATAAAATAAAACATTATTCATAAATTAAATAAAATGTATTAATTTAGCTACCAATAAAATGTGTAAATCACTGAAGAATAGAAAAAAATGTTCAGAATCTTTTCTTCCTAAATCAACTTGCAGACAGACAATTAATACCTTGAGCTACAGTATGTAGGGTATGCAAAAAAAATTGTTTTCTGTTTCTTTTTTTGCGTTACAATAGAAGGTACTTGCTTACTATTCTGTTGGTTACTATATTTTTTCTTGCATAAGCATGGTAGTGGCTCCTATAAAATTTAATATCAAAATAAAACTAATAATACTTGAATTAAGTATCATTTAAAATAGTTACCGTTTTCTGAATCTGATTCTATCCGAGTATCACTAGTAGTAGCAAATTCAAATTTATCACATAACTCATGGTCTAAGAATACTCATTCAATTTAAAAATGTTTTTAAATTGAATGAGTTAAAAATGTTAGACTGTGGTTTATGCATTTCATTCAAACCACTCATTTAATTTATTACATTTAACAATAATGGCCAGCACAAAAAATTATCAATCAAATTTTCTCTCTTTATTTCTCTGTATTTTCTATCCAAACAGCTCGAATGAACATTTTGCTTGCCCTAATATACTTTTTCAACTGGAAAAGTATAGTAGAAAATATAATAGAAAAATACTCATATATTAAAAATTTGTTCATGTAAAATAGCTAACAGAAAAATACAACTTTAAACTGTACATAATTATACATTATACAGTTGCTAAAATTTGCTAAATTTTTATGTTGATCCTTCTACCAACCAATATCATGGACTAAAGGAGCAAGCATAAATTCTTTTTTATACAACTTTACAAGAAAAATCTTTAAAAAATTAATAAAAATTTTTTAATATAAAAAATATTCAAACTCTTTAAATCACATGAATTGTTAAAAAAGCTTGATAAATCATTATTTTGTAAAACATCATCCATTTTCATACACAAATTCAACACAATAAAACTTTCCATTAGTTAGTAAAAAGCCATATATATATATATATATATATATATATATATATATATATATATATATATATATTATATATATATATATATATATATATATATATATATATATATATAATATATATATATATATATATATATATATATATATATATATATATATATATATATATATATATATATATATATATATATATATATATATATATATATATATATATATATATATATATATATATATATATATATATATATATATATATATATATATATATAAACTAGTATTGTCAAATATACTAACATAAATAGTAAAACAATTTAATCAAACTCTAAAAAAAACTTACTTAAAAAACTGAAAAAATAATTCAAGTAATATCTACTTGTAATCCACACTCATGAAATAATAAGGTCATAAAGAAATATCCATTTAATATTTACCTAACTAACTGCATCACAAGTTAAGCCATGTATTATTGTTAAATTGCCAAATTCAAAACCTTATAAAAAGGCAACAGATGGCCTAATTTATTAGCATGTGTGACTTTACTTGTTTTTATTGGGCTACTAAGTAACTTGTTAAGTCTTTTCTTTTTATTTGTTATGCTAATAAAAAAAATGTTGAATTAACGTGGAATCAACGTCGATTTTATTTGATAGTTTTAAACAAATTTTTCAACGTTGATTCAACGTCAATTTTTGGTTATACAACGTCGCGACTAAAAATCAACTGTAAATCAACGTCGAAATAACGTCGTGTGCCCACTGGGTAAATGTCACCACAAATATAGGAAAAAGCTTTTTAAACTTGATTGTCAAACATTTTCCAATTAACAACAGACTACACAAAATTTTCAACAAAAACACAGTAAAAATCGGCTACAGTTGCATGCCAAACATAAAATCAATAATAAATTTACACAACAAGCACATCCTAAACAAAAATCTAACCATTAATAAAGATAACTGCAACTGCCTTAATAAAAACAATTGTCCTTTACACAAAAACTGCTTGACCAACAACATTGTATACCAAGCAACCATCAATTCGGATAACCCTTCAATAAAAAAATCATACATTGGTATTTGTGAAACATCTTTCAAACTGAGATACCCCAAGTATAGAAACGATACAGAACTGTCAAAGGAGGTTTGGAACTTAAAAGATAATGATAAAAATCCTGTGATCAATTGGAAAATAATTAGAAGATGTGAAGCATATAATCTGACAACAAAATCGTGCAAATTATGCCTTAATAAAAAACATGAAATTATTTCAAATAATGACAATAGTTTATTAAATAAAAAGACTGAAATTATATCAAAATGTTGGTATAGAAATAAATTCCTTCTTTGTCAATTCGACACAGCCTAAATGTAACCTTCGTGTAGTCGATGTTTTGACGTCAGATCCCATTGCATTGCTTAATTTGTATTTTAAACGGTTTTTTAATTTCTTGATTTAAAAAAATATATATGGCTGATGATTGCCGCCAGACATGAAACTCTGAGTACCAACAAAAAGTTGTATTTTTTTCATTTTAATACGAAATTATTATATATACAGTCACGATCAAAAGTTTGGAACATTGTATAAAAAAACACAATTTTTATTAAATTATTCAGTTATTTTATCAAAATATATTAGTAACCATGAAAATTTCCGAATATAATAACTTTGAAATACTAATAAATGTTTTATGAGTTTAATACTTGAATTTAATACTTGGTATGGTGTCCTTGAGCTTTCAAACAATTAGCTAGCCGTGTAGGCATAGAGTGAACGAGTTTTCTCAAATATTCAGGAGTCATTAATTGAGTCCATACCTGTCTAATTTTTTCTTGTAGATCATCAGAAGATGATGGTCTAAGTTTCTGGACTTCGTTTTTAAGATGATTCCAGCAGTTTTCAATGGGATTGAGGTCCGGTGAATTATCAGGCCAGGGGCCAATGACTTCAACTCCATTCTCAAGTAACCAACTGCTTGCAAGCTTGGCCCTGTGACAGGGTGCTCCGTCATGCTGAAACTTGTGGGTATTTGTGATGTTCATGAATATTTTAAGTTTTTCTTGAAGTATTTCAAGATAAATATGGCCATTTGTTGTGGTGTTAAGAGGCATAAACCATAAACCACCACTTTGATTGGCTGTAATGGCACCCCATATCATGATTTTAGGGCAATGTTTTACAGTTGAAAGCAAATATTTGGGGTTGTATCGTTGGCAAGGCGGGCGTCTAACGCTTGTAGAACGACAACCAAATTGTTCGATTAATGATTCGTCGCTAAATATTACATCCTCCCAATCTTCCGCTGACCAGTCCTTGTATTTCTGACAGAAGGCAATACGATCTCTAATATTTTTTGGAGAAAGGCAAGGTTTTTTTGCTGGAACATGGCTCGTTAAATGAAATTGTTTGCACAAACGTCTTCTAATGGTCACAACACTTGGTGCAACACCAGTGGGGAATACCTCAGATGAAATTTCAGAAGCACTGGCAAACGGATATGCTTTTGCATAACGATGGATGCGATTATCTGCCCTTTGAGTAGTCACCTTTGGTCGTCCAGCTCTAGCTTTAGTTTTAAAATTACCAGTGTCATGATATCGCTTCAATGTTTTTATGATATGGGTTACATTAAAACGTGAAGCAATAGAAGTCAGTGTCAATCCTTGTTCACGTAGAATAACAATCTGAGCACGTTTTTCGGTTGTTAATTCATTAGTTCTTTCCATAATTATTATTTTAATTTTTTTCTAAAATAACAACAAACTATGACTAAAACAAATTTAGTGGCTTATAACATGAATTACGCATGTATATAATACTAATACTCAAAATTTTCAATTAAAAAAAAAGGTTTTTAACAAGTATTTCAAATTTTCTGCAAATTTTTAAAATGTTCCAAACTTTTGATCGCGACTGTATATATATATATGTATATATATATATATATATATATATATATATATATATATATATATATATATATATATATATATATATATATATATATATATATATATATATATATATATATATATATATATTTTTTTTTTAATTTTCCTCCCTTTGCCCCTGTTGCTACGCCAGCGTTTATATATATTTCACTTTAAGAATGGTGTTATTATTTTTTTCACTTTAAGAATGGTGTTTGGTCTTTGTTTTTACTTTAAGAATGATGTTTGGTCTTGAATTTTTTTGTAATGCTTTTTTTTTTTAATTATAAAAATTTATTTTAAATTGTAAATAAAAAAAGTAATTATTACTATCATTTTTTTTTTACAACAGTTACCACCAAAAGTACTTACTAAGGCGTCATACAAAGATTTTTCAAAGCTTGAATCTAACCGATTCTCAAGTAATTCATTCAAGTGTTGCTGCTCGTTTAACAGGTTACTTGAATGGATATGGCAGTGTAAGTAAGTTAACTGAAGAATGCCATAAGTGGGGACTTAACGAAGATCTAGTTAAAACGATTATAAAAGTTGTAGAAAGTGCTTCAATGAATGGAGGGTGTGAGGGTGGAGTCTGTAAAAAATAATTAGTATTTAATTGTTATGCTGTTTTTGTTTATGTTATTTATATTTCTAGATAAACTTTTAACCATTTTTATTATAGGAGCCTTTTAATGCGTTTGTTCTAAAATTTTGTTACATAAATATTGATGTAGCAGCTAGCATAATATATTTATTTTTTTTATTTTTATAGTTGATTTATTCCTTTTTTTTTAAAAGCGAGCTTATGACACATTTGTTCTGAAATCATCGCATGAATGTTGATGCAGCAGCTTGCATAATATAACTTTTATTTAACTTATAGTTATTATTATTATTTTTTATTACGTACGAGCTTATGACACATTTGTTCCAAAATCATATTGTATAAATGTTGATGTAACAGCTTGTTTAATAAATAATATATGAGTGTTAGAAATAAATTTGTTATCAATGTACAGTGTTCTATTGGTAGAAAACATTCGGCCAAAACTCAAACTTTCAATTATTAAATTTTACGATTATAGCTACTTATCACATACTGATCACGTGACATACTGGTCATGTGAGATGCACACCTACTATTACTCAGCCCTTTTAGATGTACTCAGTCACCTTAACAGCATTGTTTGTAACAGTATAATTGATTTTCAACTTCAGATAAAATTACTATTAAGACTGTTAACCATACTTGGATCATTTCTTTTCATTATATATGTAAATGATCTTAACAAACATTTGACAGCTCGGTCTAGTCCTTTCATGCATATTTTTTGCATTTTTTTTTTAAATTGTTTACGTTGGAACTAGGTAGCTATGACTATTTTCCACACTAGATTTATATACAGTCTTTATTTTATTTATCTCATCGCTAACTTGAAAAGAGGGACATGTCCTGCAAAAATTCACATAATAAGTCCCCTTTTTCAAGTTAGCGATTCATATGTAAATGATCTTAACAAACATTCAATTTAAAGACTAATTTTTGCAGACTAAATTTGTTTCTGTCACATGAAAAAGAAGACATACTTTTTAATAATATAAACAGAGAACTTGAAAATATTTCATTTTGGTTAAAAAAAATATGCTATCTTTAAATATTGAAAAAACAAAATAAATATTTTTTGCATTCCACCCGATATAGCCAACAAACAGGTTGATCCACTACATGACATTAGTATCACTCCAGCTTCTTTAACTAAAAAGATTTCCTGTTTATACTCTTCTACAGCTTGTGGTCCTGACTACAACGCGTTATAGTCTTAAAGAAGTGTTCTCTGGAGTTGTTGTCTATACTTTCAAAACTATTTAATAAGTGTTAATCAAAGTCTTGTTTTCCAGCCTGCTGAAAAACGGGATCTGTAATTCCATTACTCTGGAGAGAAATATGACTCATTTACCCTCCCATTAGTCTTCTCCCTATCATAAGCAAGGTTTTTGAATCTTTAATTAACAAACACTTAATCTTGAATCTAATAACTTACTTTTCTGATCATCAATATGGACTCGTTCTACAGCTGATTTGCTAACAGTAATAACCGATAGGCTTTATCGTGCATTAGATAGTTTTGGAGAGATTAAGGCTATCGCTCTTGAAATTTCTAAAACTTTTGATAAAGTTTGGCATACCGGTCTTCTCCATAAGCTATGCTCTTATGGGGTATCAGGTAACATCTTTAAGATTGTTGATTGAAGATTCTTTCTTACTAATTGTAGTATAAAAGTTGTCCTCGGTGGACAGCACTGTTCTTCGTATTCTGTAACTTCAGGGGTTAATCAAGGTTCTACCCTTAGCCCTTTTTTAATTTACATAAACAATTTTTCAGTTATTCTCACATCTAAGGTGGAATTGTTCGCTAATGATACTACCATTTATTCTAATCTTGATAGAAAGCTACCACTCTCTGATAGCTTGAAAGGTGCATTTAAGCTTGAAAAGAATCTTACTTCTGCTACAGCTTGGGGCTCTCAGTGACTGGTGAACTTTAATTCAGATAAAACTCTTTTTTTTTTTAACTAATTGTTATCGCAATAATTTAGATCTTCCAATATTATAAATGGTAATGTACTCAATCTTCCAATAATGCCCTTTCTCATTTAGACAAGGTGCAAAAACGCAATGCAAACATAGTTGGACTTGCTCTTGCCTCCAACCATTATCACATCGTTGTAATGTTTCTTTTCTTTCTCGTTTCTACAAATACTATATTGGACACTGCTTTAAGAAGCTAGCGTCTCTTGTGCTATCTACTAAAAGTCATTCTCATGTAACTTTTCATTCAATTAAGTCTCATACTTTTACTATGACTGTAAAGTGCTCCAAAAATTCTTATTCTTCTAGTTTTTCCTTGAACATTAGTTCTTTGGAATTCGCTTTCTTTATCTTGCTTTCCTGATTCATATAATTTGCAATCTTTTAAGTCGTCTGTTAATCGTTATCTTGCTCTACAAACTTTCTTCGTTATCATTCTCTACAAAAGTCTTTCCTCTTCCTGAAACTTTCAAGTCTAATGGTGGTTACTTACAGCCTTTTTGGAAGTAGTTGGTTGCTTGCAGCCTTGTTGGAAGTGAAGTTGTTAAAAAAAAATGATTTTTTTATTGAAGAAGAAAATAAAGTTTTATATTGTGAAGGGGTTTGTGATGATTTCATTACAATCTCCTTGAAGCCCTGCCTATATAATATTTAAAATTTTTTTGTAAATAGTATTAACTGGCATATAAAATAAATAAACAAAAAAATAAATAAAAAACAAGTACGTACTTAAAAATGCAAATGATAAAAAAAAAGATATTTTAACGTCTCAAAGTTTTTTTTTTTTGTTGTTGTTTTTTCGGCGAACAACCCTAGAACAGACGTGTTTTATTCAGAGGAAATCATTATTTTTTGAAACTTTTTTTTTTTTTTTTTTTTTTCTTAATAACAAAAAATAAGCTTATTAAATGGATAAAAAAATATTGTTGTTCGAAAGAAATCTAACGAAACGGGGAATATAGATGAAACACAAATTCCAACAAATGTTGTTCGAGAGATTTTCCATGAAATGTTTTCAAAACAGCAGAAAGATATCTTTAAGCTTATAAGTGGTAACCTAAAAATAACTAACGATAAAATAAACGAGCTACTTGATGAAATACACAAATCAAAACAAATTTGCGACTCATTTAAAAAAGAAAACGAAAAGGTAAACATTAAACTTAAAGAAATTACAGAGAAAGTAAGAATCTTAGAAAAGACAAATAAAGATATCGAAGAAAGCTTAACAGTTACACAAGACATCCAAGAAAAAAAGGTATGCGAATTAAAAAAGAAAATTAAAAACAAAAATATTATAGGCGAGGAGGAAAAGAATAAACTACGACAGCTAGAAGATAGACTTAGAAGGAATAATCTTTGCATCGACGGGCTACCCGAAAACGATCAAGAAACCTGGGATGAAACTGAAAAAAAACTATTAATTTTATTTGAAAACAAATTAAATATTAGGAACGTTGATATCGAGAGGGCTCACAGAGTTGGAAAAAAAGAAGAAAATAAAACTAGAACAATTGTTGTTAAAATACTACATTACAAAGACAAATAAAAGTACTAAATTCATCTATTCGACTTAAAGGAACAGGAATATACATCAACGAAGACTTCTCTTTTGAAACAACGGTCATAAGAAAAAAAACTCTTAGAAGAAATAAAGATGCACAGAAAAAATGCTAAATATTCTTCTATAAAATATGAAAAACATATAGTTAGAGAATTTAGGAAAATCAAAGCAAGTGCCTAATGACTTTATCATTTATATTTAGAAAATTTTTTTTTTTTTATCATTATTATTATTATTATTTTCTTTTTCAGTAAAATAATAATTGAAAAGTTTATAAAAAATACCCTACTCATAAATGAAGATAATGTTACACTTAACTCAGAATTTAATTCATTACAAAATAAAAGTAATATACTTCTAGATAACAACTCTGATCCGGATATTAATTTTTATAGTAATAACAAAGTATTTCAAAATATTAGTACTTTATATTATTACCCTACATCTGAAATCATAATGCAAGGACTAGATGTCAATTCATTTTCAATTTTACATTTAAATAGTAGGAGTTTTTCAAAAAATTTTGAATTATTTAAACAATTTTTATGCGAGGTTAAATTTAATTTTAAAATTATTAGTCTCAGCGAGACATGGTGTAATGATGAACATATAGAGACAAATACAAATTTCAGCTACCAAATTATAAAGTCATTCATCAATTTAGAGGATCTGGGAAGAAAGGAGAAGCTTTGTGTGTATTTATAAGTAATTCTTTATTATACAAGTTAAAAAAAGATTTTTGCTCCACTGCTAATGATTGTGAATCACTATGTGTGGAAATAATAAATAAAACCACAAAAAACATTACGTTTTATACAGACTCAATAAAACAATTCGAAAAGCACATTAAAAACATAATTAAAAATAAATTAAGCGAAAGTAAAAGCATTTATTTTATAGGTGATTTTAACCTTGACCTGAACATGAGTCATTTAAATATAAATATAAGTAATTTCTTTAACGTCATATATCAGAAAGGCTTTATTCCACTAATTAATAAACCCACAAGAATAACTAGAGAAAGCGCAACTATCATTGATCAAATAGTCACCAATAAATTAAAAAAAAAAATAAAAACAGGAATATTTAAATGCGACATTTCAGATCATTTCCCTTTATTTCTTATCTCACAAAAATGTGATAACATTTATGCACAAAAAGTTAAAAATAATATATTATTTTTAACTTTTTCGCGTATTATTTTTAACTATTTCGCTTATTAATACGCGATATATAAATGAAAAATCCATGGAAAATTTTAATTCTCTTTTATCAGATTTAGATTGGGATGACCTCCTTCATATTGAACACGTGACCTCCTTGATATTAAACACGCAGATAAGGCATACGATAAGTTTATTGATAAATTACAACAATTTTACAATTCGGCTTTTCCTGTAGTTACAAAATGTGTAACTACAGGAAATGTTTCCTGCGTTTTAAATCTGGTTTTTCCAAATTGCCCAAATGTGAGAAAAATTGGTTTTTCCAAAAAAAATTATTCCTTTAATAAGGATAAAATTTGTATATTTATTTGAAATATTATAGATTATGATTTATTTTTTAAAAGGTATAACTGTTTTAAGTTTACAATCCTCCAACGAAGAAACAGTAAATTTAAAATAGATATAATTTATAAAACTAAATATTATTTTGTTTAGAAATTATCATAAAAAAACAGCTTTATATGACATAAGTATGAAGGTACAACTTTCACTTAGGGATAATTAAATCACATCAGTCAAATTTTTTATCAAAAGCATCCGATATATGGTTTACAAGCTCAATTACCGCGTGATCCGTAGAATGATTTTTTTTAAACCCAAATTTTTTTTTGTACAGAATATTATTTGATACTAGAT